AGCCAAACACGTACACATATGATAAAATGAATGTCACCATCGTGCTCTACGCCCCAAATCACCCATAAAACATGTGTCACAGGCTGCGAATATCAGTTTTGATTTTCGGGGATATGTGCCTGCCCGGTTGACCTGACCTTGACCCTGACCTATGCTTGACTGACCCCTGCATGGAGCTGACACTCTTGTAGGCCTTATATGATGGATTGTGCACCGTTTTGACAGAGTTTATGACGAGAGGCGCCCATTGCGAAGTCCTGAAGTCCATGCTACTGAAAGCCCGATTTCAGGTGTTTGACCTGACCTTGACCTGACCTGTGACCTCAAAATTCAACTTTAAAGTACTCATCTGAAGCGTCTCGTCGCGCTCTTTCGTTTGCCGCCTCGTGCGTTTCGCTGCGCCTATTGGTTCTCGAGTTATCGGCTGGGGGCGTTTAACGCCCCCCCCCCCCCCCCAGCAAACGGTGGGCGGCGAAATACCCCAGCAACTGCCGGGTTAAGAGGATCACGGTGGGCATTTGTAGTATAAATCGATGAATCGTTAACCCTTTTAAAAGATTAAGACGAAGAAGATATGGCCGGAAATTTACTGACGAAGAAGATATGGCCGGAAATTTACTAGGTATAATCCATTGCGCAGACCATAATGACTTTAACTTAAGATGACCTTTTGTGAAACTAGCATTGATTGCCTACCTATTTTTCGGAAAACAATATACGCTGAAAGAATCGGCCGCTTCGACAGCGATGGTACACTGCGGCGGCATCTCACTCACCGTGTCTACCCTGGTCTCGTCCCAGTCTTCTAACAAACCAAGCACAAACAACAGTTCCGATGCAGAAGATATGGCCGGAAATTTACTGACGAAGAAGATATGGCCGGAAATTTACTAAATTTCAAAGAGACAAACAGTACTGCAAACACCTGCGAGACCTGTACCTTGTTGATTCCATATGGCACATTAATCGCGAAATATATGTTTTTCATGTTTGTGATGATTGATTCCAGGAAAACACTACAACCATACAGCAATCACGCAAGAAATAAACAACCTAAGACCCAAAGAATCAGTGCGAATATGGCACAAAGATAAGAAAAGCCCTGGTATCGAATTTGTAACCGATACCAATCTTATCAAAAGTCGTTCTTTTTCTTATTCTTATCGGCCCTCACTAGCAATGCGGTATGCACGCTGCACAACACCGTAAATGCTGCAATGTTGCTTAGATTATGATCTTTCTTGGTGTCTCTAGCTCCCTAGCAACCACCTAGCAACATGAATCAAAGCTGTAAACAACCAACGTTTGTCTCAGATGCGCAGTTTTTTTAGGTATGATCCATTGCGCAGACCATAATGACTCTAACTTAAGATGACTTTTTGTGAAACTAACATTGATTGCCTACCTATTTTTCGGAAAATAATATACGCTGAAAGAATCGGCCGCTTCGACAGCGATGGTACACTGCGGCGGCATCTCACTCACCGTGTCTACCCTGGTCTCGTCCCAGTCTTCTAACAAACCAAGCACAAACAACAGTTCCGATGCAGTGATAGAACAATGATCAATGTAACGAACTGTATATATGTGTGTAAATCCGTCAATCCGAGTAATGTATGCGCCTCTATTGAAATTGACAGCACAATTATTAACCGTAACCGTCAAATTTCTAATTCCTGAAGAAGCGTTAACAACTTCATCTGCATTTTCAATTCCTCAAACAGCGCGTGACCTTGTCCACCTGGTCATTTTCTATTTTTGGGTTGCAGGCGCATCGCGATTCAGGTGCACTGCTTTCTCGATATCAATTCCCGAATCACTTAAGCTTGTCATGCCGGTTACCGAGTGTGGTAAATGCGGCTGGCATCTTAGCTGAACATTCCTTTTTCCTCGCTAGATGGCAGAAGTGTCAGACGCCTGAATGCATGCTGTGCCGCATTGCCGCCTCTGACGTATGTAACCGCTTGAATGCATACTGCACCAGTTTTACGAACAGTGAATGAAAGGTATCATGTGATAACATATACAGTTATTTATTGTGCATCCCCTTTTGACACGTTTTTGCTATAATAGGCTGCCCGTTTTTACCCCCCTCTACCCCCCCCCTATTGACATTTTTTATTTTTTATTTTTTAGAAATGTAGATCACGTTGAACGAAATCGAATGCCGTTTGAATTTTGAAAACCGGCCCGTTAGATCTCGAGATATCAAGGGGGGTCGTAAACAGCCCCCCCCCCTGCCACTAATAGGGGTAGCCAGGAGCCTGCCACTAATAGGGTTAATTGACTTGTGGACGGCTTCCTATTCGCCGGTCTCTAGCGGTGTACCTAATTGGAGCTCAATCTGCCCATCCAATTTAAAGATCTGGAAGCGACCCCTGCCCGTGCGCACGTGCAGCTGCACCCCAGCCGTGGCACATGAAAATACATACTTACTGACTTGTGCACGGCACCCTACTAACCAGTCTCTAGTGGTATGCCAAATTTGAGCACAGCCGGTCCAGCCGTTCTTGAGATATGGAAGCGTCAGCCTGCACGTGCGCACGTGCAAACTGGGTCCCATCTGACTTGTGCACGGCACCCTACTCGCCGAGCCCTAACGGTGTGCCAACTTTGATCACAATCGGCCCAGCCGTTCTCAAGATCTGGAAGCGTCACCCTGCCCGTGCGCACGTGCAGCGGCACCCCAACCGTGACACACAGAAATGTATTACCCGGCGGGTGCCTACATCCATGCCAAGGATCAGCGCAATCGGCAAAATAACTAGAGTTATTACACTTGCTACCGAACTGACACCTCTTCGTTTTGCACGTGGCACGTGCATTAGGGGTCACACATACGCATCGAGAGTAGCACACTACGTGTGAGAAAGGAAGAAGCTATCTCACTCAAAAGACCGCGAGTGAAGCGGTCAAGCGGTTGTGGAGATATAACCTTTGCAAAGGCGCCCCCACGGCGGCCGACTGCTAATATTCAGCAATAATCAGTGGCGCATCCGCACACGGGAGGTATCGCCGTCACCTGTTCGTATAGTCTAATGTGGTTGGGTTCAAGTCACAGTCGAGCCCTGCTTTTTTACAACTTTTCTTAAAAACGGCACATCGTGCAGTGACGTTCTATGCATCAGTGGAAAGAGCATCGAAAGTTGTATATTTTATTAACTTTTCACTTTGGTATATCTGCAACGTAAAAAGTTATTAAGCAACAAAGACGCTCCCATTGACTTTCCATGTTAAAAATTTTAATTTTCAAATGAACTTTATTAGAAAAAAACGATTTCTGCCAGCTTAACGAAGCATACCAACATGTACTATGCTCCTTTCTCTACAAGATATAAGAGTTTGGGCGAATTCTATCTCTAAAATTTTGTACAATGAACGAATGAAAATGTCTCTGCAAAGTCTCGGCATCGCCGTCCATTGACTTAACATGGGACACAGCAAAATTCCAACTTTGACCTCGTGCAAAGACACATTCCGAGATTCTGAGGGGTATACAGCGCACACTGGCGTGTACCCAAACGTGTTTGCCATAAAATGCTGGGAAGAAAACCACCTCTTCCTTGGCTCGTTTTCCCGCCATTCGCGATCGCGCAAAAAGTGTCCAAAACCCCGTTGACTTAACATGGGGAAAATGGAATCGCACGTGCCACGCGCAAAAGACTTCTTAGCGAGTAGCGACCGATGCCATCAAGTAGATCGCCTGCGGGAGCCCATACCCTGAACTTTTTACGGAAATTGAGCGATTCGTCTAGGCCCCAATCAAGATGTCTCGATTCGCTGCCAGACTTGCAAAACATAGCCCGGAGAAGGACCGCTCCGGTTGTTTTTCAATAGAAAAACACAATTCTAACGAATAGTGTTTGTCTTTTCAAACAACCTGCGGTTACTATTTGAGGAGGGTGCGTCTGTCCGTTACCGAGGTCCCGACTTGGTGGTGCTTTGCGTGGACTACAGGCCAGACCGTTGCACCTAGCCCGGTGAAATTTGCATCTTTTCAAACAACCTGCGGTTACTATTTGAGGAGGGTGCGTCTGTCCGTTACCGAGGTCCCGACTTGGTGGTGCTTTGCGTGGACTACAGGCCAGACCGTTGCACCTAGCCCGGTGAAATTTGCACAACTCATAGATCAAGGATGCGCGACGTGCCTTTGAGGGGTCTCAGCTCGATCGGATTGATAGGGAGCGCGTGGCGCGTGCTCAAAAAGTGCAAATTCGCGTCATAGACTTTACATGTATAAATCGGCGTGCGAAATCGGGCGAAAACGGCTAATTTTGGCCGACACGGGTCCAGTTCCCGTGCAATATCTTGGTGACCAGGGGTCCGACCGGCACGTGGAAAACAGCATCGTGTACAGAATTGAACGGGCTATTGAATGGTGTACAATGCAGAGGATAGCACGCGCCACGTGCACCGGAGAGGGCACTTTTATTTGAAAAATTGCGGTTTTTGAGGGATTTTGGAATTAATTTTATTTTTAGGTGACCGTTAAATGGAGCGAGTTAATTCAACGCCTATTTGCAAGAGAAAGGTACCGCCTCTCATATAAAAATTGTGAAAAGCTGATTGATCCAAATCAAGGTGGTGCAAATCACAGGAGAAAATGGTGTTTGTCAATTTTGTGCCACTTTATTAATCACACGGGGTTTGCTGCATAACCTGATACCTTTGGCAATTGAATATGGTACCATTGGATAGAGCATTCAATTCTGTCCAATATTCACTCTTCATTTTTGCATGATTAGCAACAGTATCCTTAAAAATGTAAATGTTCCAAACCATTACATCGTCATTTTTAGCGAAATTCATCGATGGCCCTCAAAAGACTTCACGCCAGTTTTCGAATCATCCTAAAGTAGAACGCATGATAATACGACACGGGCACCTCGATGCGATGTATCTTTTTTATTACAAAATGCTTGGCCGTCAAAAAGCAATCGAAGGAAATGGATACCAACCAAATCGACACAGACCAACCCAATACACACGGGTCAAACATAACCCTTCTTCGCGTTGCGGAGCACGCGGGTAACCCTAGTAGATACTAAAGATTCCTATATGGCCTTGGCCTTGAGGATCCAGCGTGCGTAGGGTTGTTGTTATTTTGTAATTTTCAGAGAAGTCCACATTGAGGTAGATGTACATCAGTTAACACAATACAAAACCTTTAGGTATGTGTTACCTACTCTAAAAAGAAAGATGTCTGCATTTGTGATTTCAAAACTGCAATGAAGAGCCATTAAATCAAAATATTTGACCAACCCTTGTTTGGTAGGTGTTGCATTATGGGTAGCTGTCACATCAATCTAGGAATGCTGGTAAATGTTCAGAAAAAGTCTGATTCACTTTTAAAACATAAATTTTGCATGTTCTTTCATAGGTAATTTCACATTCTGAATCTGAATATGATGCTTACATGTGCCGCAAATAAAAGAAAAGATAATCGAACCTGAGGGCTGTTCGGCTGCGCAGCCAAAATGAAATATGCTGCAGCACGCATGCGCAGTGAGGACTTCATCGCTCGTTAGTCCCGCCCACACCACTGCGTCACCGCTTGTGTTACGTCACCTATGCCTAGCACATTTCCTCTTTTTGCTCCCTCTAACTTGCAGAAATTCCCTTGCTGCCCAGTCTAGTTTATATGTCTGCCATATAAGCAAAATCCTATAGTCATATTTATAGATATATACAATATATCTGGAACCCCAGACTTCAGGTCCTGTGCTTGGCTGTGTGCTGCTGTTTCAAGGAGGCATCACACTAGGCTGCTAAGCATACCTATTTTGATGGAAGCTGTTGTTCAGTCATTCAGCCACTGCTGATGGGCAGTATGGTACAAGCTTTGTGATTAAGTGGTTTGTGCAGATTCTGCATGGGACAGTGCAATATACCCTGGGACAGTGCAGCCTGCAGGGAGTCACTGCCTGCCAGGCAGTGAGTGGTACTATGCTAAACTGAGCTGTGCCATGGTGCATTGTTGTCCAAGAGAATGATGTACATGGCAACATATTGGAGAGTAGTTGGTCCAATAATTGGTTGGTTATCGGTATTGGAGTGGCAACCAAGCTGGTGCAGCTTATTGACTCAATTGCCGTAATATGTAGTCTGGCTTCACTGTAAGAAAACCTGTGGGTCCTCTTAGTATGGGGTGTGCGAACCTGGGCATGTAACCCATTTTGTGGATGAGTGTTCATAGTTAGTCTCACTTGTGGCTGTGCATTTAACAATCACTGCCACAATGTCACTGTTGTGCTGCTGCCATTGTGCACTTTACAGTTCTGCAGTACAGTGTCTAAGAGTCTAGACATGTAGGGCTGGCATCTGGCCAGTGTGAATTTCCAACCTCTGGTTCAATTCAATTGGGCAAATTGGTCTAGTTATTAGAGTGCAAACATGGAGACCTCAAAAACTTGAATATTGTGGTTTGTAATATGGCCACCTGTATTAGCATGTTATCAAATTTCTATTCGATTTGGTTTGCTTTTATTTTCAGATGGCTGGTGTAGGGAAAATCCCAGCCACACTAGGGGATCCAACATAAAAGTGCTCATATTGGTCTGCGTCTTATCAGTTAAAATAAGGTCTTGAGTTTGTCATTGTACTTACTTAAAACAGTAGCATTCAAAACTAAGAGTACCCACAATTAGTTGTGTTGTGACAATATTTACTTGGTGCCTACATTCATGTTGACAAACCGTATCATTGATATTGATGAGAGATGTAATGGGTCATCAATACCAAATGGAATTACTCAATTTTTGTTGATGACAGACAACTTTAGAACTTTGCTATTTCTTGCTACCTACACACTCACCTTATCGTGATTTGGTATAGTTAAAATCGACGTGAACTTACAAAGGACCATATACCCTATCTCACTAGTGTATTGTATTGTATTGTATTGAACAATCATGAGTCTGAACGACCGCCGTTTACGCAGGCTGCGTCAACACCACCGATGGAACCAAAGTGGTCTCGGGAGGGCTCTGCTGACAGCGACGAAGAATGGGGTTTGAGGCGATCCCAGAGACGGAGGGACTCCACTCCCATAGACAGTCACGGATCCGAGGGCGTCCTTGAGCCGGTTGTTAAAGAGGAGATAAAGATTGAAGTCCCTTCACCAGGGGTAAGTTTATAAACCCATGGTGCTCATTTCTCATTGGTGTTTATATTGTTATTGCCAGGCTGATTGAAGGGAAATGCAAACGTAAAATGTGTTCAAATTTTAATGTCTGTGATGGAATGACGTATGTTACGATAAATCCTTGACGTATGAATGTATCCTTGCCATGAATGAGGAATGACGTATGTTATGTATCCTTGCCAGCCGGTGGCGCCGTCTATCTATTCACTATGTTTTTGTTCATTGACTCAAACTACACACCTTATTTGCCTATTTTTTCTGTATTGATTAATAAACCAGTATAGCGCCTTTTGGGGCGACTAACGGAGCGAGCGAGGGGGTGAGTCTTGCACGTGCGAAATTTCGAGGGGGCACCTCCAACTGACTTGTGCACGGCACCGTACTGACTGGTCTCTAGCGATGTGCCAAATTTGGGCACAATCGGCCCAGCCGTTCTCGAGATCTGGAAGCGGCACCCTGCACGTGCGCACGTGCAAAATGGGTCCCAACTGACTTGTGCACGGCACCCTAGTAACCGGTCCCTAACTGTGTACCAAATTTGAGCGCAATCGGTCGAGCCGTTCTCGAGATCTGGAAACGACCCCTGCACGTGCGCACGTGCAGCGGCACCCCAACTCTGGCACATGGATATGCAGTGCCTAGTGGGTGCCTACCTACATGCCAACTTTCAGCGCAATCGGCCAAGTAGTTACCGAGATATTGCAACAATTACAAAAGTGACACCTCTTCGTTTTGCACGTGGCACGTGCATAAGGGGTCACCCACATGCATCGGGAATAGTCCAATACTTGGTAGAAGGAATGAAGCTACCCTACAAAAATTACCGCATGTAAATCGGTCCAGTGGTTGCTGAGATATAAGCCTCGCAAAAGCGTCCGCACGGCCGGCCGGCCGGCCGGCCGGCCGCTCATACTCAGAAATTTCCGTTATTCTACGTAAGACTCCGCTCGCTTCGCTCGCTCCGTAACCACCGGCGGAAACCGGAAGAGAGATCAAATGTTGATGGTTTCTTTATTTGGTCTAGATTGAGCGGCCGTCGTCTCCCTGGGTGTCGGACGACGACCCTTTGTCGGACAAAGCTCTGCAGTCTCTGGCGAGGGAGCAGAAGCTGCGGAGTCGGTCGCCGTCACCGTCTGAAGACTTCATCGGGTTCACGGAGTTGGACCGGGACAAGTAAGGATGTGGCTAAGTGCTGTTGTTAAAAATTGAAATTCGAGTAGTTATTGGACATCGTAAACACAATATCCCGTCGATGAATTCTAAAATGGTTGTGTTGTTGTTTTCTTTCAGTGCCTGGTTCATCTCCAATGTAAAAAAGAATCTGTTACCGGGCTGTTCGCCGGACAATCAAGACTCTACAGAAGGCAAGTTGACAGAAGTTTGGAATACGCAAGGGGTTGTACAATTTTATCCTGGAACCTTGCTTTTGTACCCCTTGAAGTGAAAATGTTAGTTTGTACTCATGCTATTGGATCGGGACTTACAAAGTGATTTTAGTGTTCTGACAGCAGGCGTTCTTTTGAATGCAATCCTCACCTAAATGCACCCCAGCCCGGTCATACATGACCTGTTACTGTTTTTTTTCCAGTCTTCGCTGAAGGGGTGTTCATCAAGAGTCAACGTCTCGTCATAAACTACCGGGACGTGGATGGTCTCGATGATGGTAACATATGTGAGTGTCTCCCTCCTTTTTGTCCACTAGCTTTTCCTAATCTAACAACAAACGTATGCGATAAGAACTCATAAGATTGCAGACAAGTAAAAACCACCACAGTTCCCGTCTAACAGAAACAAATTATAAAAGTGATCAAAAACCTTTCTGTATTGTCCCTCCATCAAATCGTCAAAAGGTAATGCTTCGCCCTTCTTTCCGACAGTTTGTGACGTGTGCTGCCGTGATTGGGACGGTGAATGTCGTGTCCATGGGCCGCTGAAGGTCATACCCGATACCAAGGTAAGGGATGCGTCGGTTTTGATGTTTTTCGTACTCCAGCGTAGATGGAGTACGAAAAACATCATCTCACGCTCTCAGTCCCAGCGGATAAAAACAACACCTAAGATGCGTCGGTTTGGTATGCTCCACACATGCACCTTTCGTCCGCCTTTTTTATTACACCGGTGGATGCCTACTACATTTCGATATTTATTGTGACCGATTAGGTGGCATGCCTAAATCATAGAACGACAGTAGGACGTGCATATAAAATGATCGTTTTTATATTAACGTTATCCTTGTACTCCTTACAGTCACTGCCTGCGCTGCAGTTTTGTCACTGCTGACATGGGTACGACCAGGTCTTCAACAGGTCTATGAAATATATCCATCAAAACATCCCCGTCTGATTTAGGAGCAGGTCTACGGTCAACTCAATTCGTACATATTGTATCATCCTTGGTCGACATTGCGCCCCTTATACGCTGAATATTCCAGGCACGACCCGGTATCGGAGATGTCGACAGGGACCTCAAGACGCTGCCGCCTTCTCTCAGCTCTGGTCAGTCGAGGAACCCGGCATCTGGCACTGGTAAGTTGACAAGACGACAAACGGCGGTACGTAACAACCGCTGCTGGACATTTGCTGCTAACATTTGGTGTTGTGCTCGTATTGTATAATTTCCTGTCCCATGTATCAGAATTCAGTACATCCATTTAGGTGAGGTAGACATGCATTGTTTTGATTCCAGGAGTATTTGCGGAGGATGAGCTGCCGGTGCGCCAAAGACTCGGTCCTTACGATGGCATCTTGACCACGGAGCAGGGTCAGGCCCGAACCACTGGGTACAGCTGGCAGGTAAGTTTTGCCATTTATCTGTCGCATCTCCTTTGCCCTTATTGCAATTATATTTTGGTGGTTCATATTTTGTATGATAATATAGATTTAGTCTGATTACTCTAACTTTGGCTCTTGCCCCTTCAATCACCATGGAGTTATTAAGACGACGAAAGACTGTTAAAAATGGCAGACAATGTTAGGGAAACATAAAAGTTGACGATGTTCCCATAACAAATGCGTTATTTTCATTTCATTTCAAGAATTGATGAGTATTTTGTGTCGTACTTCAGATCAAGAAGGGTCAACGCGTGCATCACTCTGTGAATGCCGAGGACCCGAGCTGCAGCAACTGGCTCAGAAGGGTCAACTGTGCCCGCTCGGAGGAAGAACAAAACCTGGTGGCCTTCCAGTACCGGGGTCAGATATACTTCAGGTACGCTGTAGTCTTGGAATCCTTGGATCTGTCCCACCAGACTGCGTTCCGTATTTTGTGTGTGGTTTGCCTTGTGCTATCATGGATGCTGCTGAGCTATTAATGACCAATTATACTATTAACTGGAGATATACCATACATTCATCAATTCTGACACATTTATCGACCTATGCAGGACGTCAAAGCCCATTCAGAGGGGCTCAGAGCTGCTGGTTTACTACGGAGACGACGCGGCCCGGGAGCTGACCGTCCACTCGGAGACGTCTGGGGAGTCTGTGACTTCCTCTCCGGCCGGACCGTCATCCTCAGGTCAGTGCATTGTTGGTAGTTCTGAGGGCTGTGGGGTCTATCGAAGGGACGCTGGTGATGACAATATACAGGGTGTCCGGAAATTATTTGCCCCTCCATCAATTCGCTGCCATAATTGATAAACAAATAGCCCCAGGGTCATGGTCTGTTTACCGATTTATCCCCTACCCTGTCCCACCCATTCCCTCATCCGCTTGGGCATTCCATAGATCAAGATGTCCAGAATATCCGTGCTGATGTTCAGCCATACCTTTCACAGGTTCCTCGGTTAATCATCCCGGCCCCGGGCAGAAATATATTTTCCTGCCCGGGGCCGGAATGATTCAATAAATCTCACAGAGTTTTTTTTTTAGCGAAAGCTCCGAGGGCCGTTAGGCCCAGGGTATATTGAGTGAAGGGTAGGACGAATTTTGGTAGGAATTTCTAGGATAACTACTAGAAAACCTACTATATGTGGTCGGGACAAGCAAAAGTTAAGTTCAAACTAGAATATGGTAGCGTTTATGGTAGGCAGTTATGACGCGCACGTGACATTCATTTCTTAAATTTCTCCTAACAGGTGTTAGGAGGCCGATTAGTGGGCAGATACATTAGATTAGCTATTATTTATCGATTATACAATGATTCAAGAATCTACATCATTAAATTCAAGTCAAAACTGCGCGTCACTTCCAGTGTTCGAACCCACGACCCTCGGATCCGTAGTCCGATACGCTACCGACTCCGACTGCGCTACCGAGGACTGCGCGCCGCCGACCGGAGAGGCGCGTCGCGGGTGCTGGCGTGCAGAGAAATCTTTACCCTGTACGCCGTAGAAGATCGGCTGGGTTTCGTGAAAAATGGTAGAGGAATTGTCGAAAGAAAATTCGTCGATCTAATCATCTGAGACTAAAAGCTCAAATATTGCTTAAAAAAAAGCTTCAAATATTGGCCGAGATATCGTTCGCCGAAAACAGGCCATTTAACATGTAAACCCTATGGGCTGGTAGGAAATGTACGCCGTGGAGCAGCAGTGCTACCAAGTAACTTCGGCGGGGGTCGTTTAGGCCCGTGGTGCTTTCGCTAAAAAAGCGAGGTAAGATTTATTGAATTCCCGGCCTTAGGGCTGGGGGCTGGAACGCTGGAAGGTGTTTCCCATACCTGCCAGACGGTCACAGCTATGATACAAGCCTCTTCCATAGTAACAGCTTGTGAGCATCAAAATGGCCGCGGAAAGCGAACGGCCTTTGACGTAGTTAATTTGACGTAGTTGACGTAGCTATTTTTTTTGTGAAGAACTAGAAAAAATGTTTTGGAAGGAGTAACGAAATTGTCAATGAGAGTAAAATCACATGAAAGGAAATTACAAGGGAAAGGATGTACCGGACTTTGAGCGCTTAGCCATAAGAAGCAAGAACGTCTTAGAAATGGACCCATAAAACGAACTTCCAACACAGTTCTGAAACTGTGAACTACAGCTCTGAAACTGTGAGCTGTGAAACTGTGAAGCAACTGTGAAACTGGCACAGAAATGTTCTGTAAAAATACATGACTTGTCAACGTTGATTATGCCTCCATGATTCAATTAAATAACTATAGATACCTGCAGATTCGTGTATAAACAGGCTTACAAAACTATCTGTAGATATATTGGACAAGTATTATAGTACAGAGCAAGTAGACTATAAATGTATTAAAAAGCAATTACCTACATATAATAAAGCGGACCGGTGAATAACATGCACTGGGAAAGAAACCACCATCAATTTACTGTTGATCCCAGGTAGTTTTGGGTTTCACTTAAAGCAATATTTTTTATACTTTTAGGAAAAGTGGCAGGTGGTGAGTTGATATGCCTTCAATTGGTGAGTTGATATGCATTATAAGGGCTGATACCAGGGTGGAATGCATGCAAATTAGCATGAATTATGGGTCTGTAGGTAAGACAAAATAAATTAGACCAACTATTTTCCTTTTCTCTCCCCACATCACCCCATGAACCACCAAAAGCTTTTTTTCTGTGGGCATACTTTACATGCAAAATCGCAACTCCCTGCCAAGTTTCAAGATGGCTGCCTACAAGCTACAAAGGAGCACTAGGTGTTCATTTGACCTCAAATTACAGATAAAAATGTGTAATAACTATCCGTCGTTTCGAAAATGACAGAACTGCCGTATCTGTATGGCTAACAGCGCGAGAATTCTGATCTCGTCAAACTGACTATTTTTGCTGCTGGCAGTCGCCAACCGAGAGTGAGAGTGACAAAATGAAATAGAACAAACAATATGAATGAATTGACTTGTGTTTTGATTTTGGTTTTTGATGCCAAATTTTGTTTTATGTTGCTTATTTCATCCGATAGAATTCAGTCCGAATTAGAATTGCTTCGTTTAATGTTGACACAAAAACACCTATCTAATCCCAAAGTTTTTTCTTTCCATTCCTGTCGTTTCATTCGTTCCCATCACGCTTTTTCCATCACACTTTCCTAGCAGGCACGTACCTAGGATTTGGCCAAGGGCGGGGGGGGGGGGAGCGGAGGAATCCCGGGGGCTTCCTCTTTAAAGGGACTTCCTCTCTACAGGAGGCCTCCTCTCTATAGGGGGTCTCCTCTCTTCAGAGGACCTTCTCTCTAAAGGAGCCTCCTCTACTGAGAAGTCAGAGGGAGGGGCCCTAGCGGTCAGACACGGACATTAGCGGTTATTCACAGGAGGCCCCAGGAAGTAAGAAGGATCCTAGTACCCTAGCTGTCAGGTTGGTCAGAAGGGCCTGATTGTCCTGACGTGATTTTTGGGATTCCCGTGAAATTCGTTCGCATCCTACGTGATTTTGGCCAACGTGGGGCCTACGTGTGCCCTGATTCCATCCGGGGACCTCCTGAACCCCTAAGGGGGGGGGGGGCGTCCGCCCCCCCTTGGGTACGCCCCTTTCCAGGTGATCTTTGCTTTCCATTCAATCCCTCATAGCATATCAACTGTGACCCGCAATTGACAATGTGTTTGAATTAAATGAAAATACACTTGTAATTTCAAAATATGTTGCCAGTTTTGATACCGCTGGCTTGAGGACATATGACTAGTCGAGTTAAGAATGTTCTAAGTAAAGCTAAGTACAAGGCTGTATAAACCAGGTAGAACGCTCCCCACGAAAAAGTGGTGACAAGCGATAATTAGTTGCCGCGACCCTCACTTGTTCAAGACTATATCCGCAAACAGCATTTACAAGCTATCGGAAATCGACCAATCGGCTTTCGGCAATACTCAACGCTAATTGGCCCGATGCTCGTGACGAAATTGCGGGGGACTGCAGCTATTCCCCTATGGCGTTTCATTGAATTATGACTTTTGAAGGGGATTTATATCAGTTTTTGTTGGGTTTGAGACCATTTTTGAGCTTTGATATTCTTTCCGTGAACTTTGACTATGTAATAACGACATTTAATCATGACCTTTTTATAGACTACCGGTGTCACATCGGCCAAAAAGACCGTAAGTACATGGGATAGACGGACCACTGCTGATGGGGCCACACATGCCGGCGTGTGGTTATCGGAGGTCCATGAGGGCTTGATATAGGCCCTTTATGGGTCGGTATAGGTCCGGCGGTTCCAGTGCAGCCTGCAGGCCTATCAGGGGCCGGTGCTGACCCAACAGGGCCCAGTGGCATATAATGTAAGGCTGTCTAGGGACGTTGAGGGCTCATGGGGGCCATATTGGACCATTAGGGACCACATAAGCCAATCAGGGGTCCATTTAGTCCAATAAAGGCACTTCAGGGGACTTGAAGAGGCCATTGAAGAGCCGTGTTGGGGCCATGAGGGGACGGCATTGGTCCATCAGGTGCAGTCAGGGCATGTTGTACGGGTATCTCAGTGGCCCATTTGGGCATATCAGTGACCAATTTAGACCCAGCAGGGGGCTTTGAAGACCTATTAGGGGCTGGTGATGGCTCATCAGGGGCCAGCGTTAGTCCATCGCCCATCGGGGCACGGCATATGCCCATCATGTCTCATGGCTTCTCATGTCTGACTGGAGCGCGGTGAACAACGCTAACGATGTCAACACATGTCTACTACACTTCATGAAAGTTTGGAATGCTGTGCTAGACGTACACTGCCCGGTCAGACGTGTGCGTGTCGCCAGACCACACTGCCCCTGGCTCGCTGAGAACCCGGACTTAGCGGCGCTCATGGCAGAACGGGACGCCGCGCGAGACACGTGGCTGTGTCTACGCACGCCGGAGGCCAGGAGTGATTTCACGCGTCTCAGGAACCGGGTGAAAAGTGAACTCATCGCGGCGAAACGTGAGTTCCTATGCAGTGAACTGGAGTCGGGGGACCATCGCGGCTTTTGGCCCACCTTCAAGAGGTTTGCGATGGCGTCGCCGAAACTTGCGGGGGACGCACGTCAGCTATCGCCGAGAGAGGCCGAAACGGCTGCTGATCGGCTAAACCTCCATTTTGCCGCCGTGGGACCGACCATAGCATCTGAACTCCGGACGACAGTGGAGCCTAACCGCGGCTCCCCCCGCCCACCGACCGTGTGTGCTGCGGGATTCTCACTGCGCCCTGTGACGCTCCCCGAGCTGTCGAGCTGCGTGAGCCGTCTCAGTGCGTCAAAGGCTGTCGGCTTGGATGGTGTTCCGCTGAAAGCCATTCGGGAGTGCTTCCCAGTGATCGGCCCTTACATTTTGAAACTTGTAAATCTATCCATGACGACTAAAGTGTTCCCGGAGAGCTGGAAAACGGCGTGCGTTGTTCCGATTCCGAAAACCGGTGACCCGTCAGTGCCATCCAATAACAGGCCAATATCCCTACTAAGCGTTTTATCCAAAATAGTGGAGAAAGTTGTGAGCACACAGCTGACGACCTACCTAGCCGAAACCAATCTGCTCCACCCATCACAGTTTGGTTACAGGATGCAACACTCAACCGAGGACGCCGTTCTCGTCGCGATCGAACGCGTGACTGATGCCATCGATGAGGGACATGTGTCGTCGCTGACGACGATCGATCTGTCAA